AGGAAACAGCAGCAGCTAAGGAAGAAAGAGAGAAAACAGCATCTCCAGCAAAAGTAGAATCTCCTGAAAAACCAAGCACTCCAGATAAAGGATCTCCAGAAAAAGCTGGGACTCCAGAGAAGGCTACTTCTCCAGAGAAAGCAGCCTCTCCAGAGAAGGCTGGGACTCCAGAGAAGGCTACTTCTCCAGAGAAAGCAGGGACACCAGAGAAGGCAGCCTCTCCAGAGAAGGCAGGGACTCCAGAGAAGGCAGCCTCCCCAGAGAAAGCAGGGACACCAGAGAAGACAGCCTCTCCGGAGAAGGCAGGGACTCCAGAGAAGGCAGCCTCTCCGGAGAAGGCAGGGACTCCAGAGAAAGTGGCTTCTCCTGAAAAGCCAGGCTCCCCAGTGGAAGAAGTTATCTCCATCACAAAGGCAACCACTGTTGGTGCAGAAAAAGAATCAAAAGAAAAAACTGAGAAAATGTCAAAGGAGTCTACCAAAGAAGATATAGCAGTAAACGGAGAGGTAGAAGATAAGGGGGAGGAAGAAGATGACTCAAAGGTAAAGCAAGTAGAAGAAGATGATAAAGGTGTTATCACCAATGGTCTGGACGTGAGCCCTTCTGAAGAAAAGAAAGGGAAGGGTGAAGAGAAAGTGGTGGTGACGAAAAAAGTTGAGAAGATCACTAGTGAAGATGATGGGGTCACCACATACATCACAAAGTCTGTGACTGTCACCCAGAAGATGGAAGAGCATGACGATGCTGTTGCAGAGAAGTTGGTGTCCACCAAGAGGGTGGAGAAGGTGACTTCTTCACATGCCATAGTGAAAGAAATCAAGGAGAGTAGTGACTAAAATAATCATTTCCCCCTCTCTAAAGAGCTTGGATTGGTGCAAAAGGTTAAGCCATATGACAGCTGCAAAAATGCATGAAAGTGGCGGCTTCTCAGCAGAACGGGTTCTCTCATGGCATCTCCAAAACAACTCTTGGTTTTATTTCTGATCTATTTATTCTTTCTGTGCCGTACCCAGGGGTTGGGGGAGAATGCATGCAAGCCCTGTGCACTCCCTCTGCAGAACTTGGGGATTTTTTTTTAAACAATGCATGAGCTGTTACTCTTCCAGGGGAAGTTGCTGAATTTTCCTAAGCTGCTGATTGGACGCCTCTGAGGAGCGTCTTCAGATGTATTATGCAAAGAATAAACTGAGCCAAATAAACAATAACAAAAGAATGAATTAAAAAAAAAAAATACCCTGAATTCTCCTAGCCTTAAGCTACTTAACCATTATGTTTACCTCACTGGTGCAATTAAGGTGGACTTCTGTTCATGAGAGAACCTACGTTGACACGCACAGTATGCAACCTTTTGTTGTTTGTTGTAAAGCAGTCACAGCCGTTTGTGCTCAATAAAGGTCATATTGGAAATGAACTTCGTTTGCTTGACTGATTGCTTTCTCTCCAAGGTCCAACATTTTAGGAGTGACACAGGATTTGCAGTTATCTAGGAGAACAGTACTGGAGAAACAGTGAAGAAGGAGGGGTCCTGGTTGTCACTTATCTGTATATGGCCATATTTTGTATTTGTGAAGTGCAGCATTCTTCAGCTGTTTCCTTAAACTGGGCCCTTTAAGTGTGCAGGTTGATTTGATGAAAGATGGGTAAGAACTGGTTCTCCGATAGATCGTAATGTCATGCTGAAGAAGACATATCCTCTAGGCAGCGCATGGGGGGAAGGAGAATATGAGAAGTCTACCCCCATGGAAAACTCTGTAAGCTTTCTAAGCGCAATACTTTCTTCTTTCTCAGCTCCTCATTTTGGAGGGGAAGGAACTCAGGAAGCAGGACATAGACTTGTAGACAGGCTACAATTGCTGGCAATGTCTTTCTGGTTCAAGAGAATGGAGAATTTGCTCTGCTTCAGAATATTTCTGTCTGGGCTGTGCTTTTTCCATCCAGTTAGCCAAACCCCCCACCTGTGTACTCCATTCCATTCTGGCCCCTAGCTAACCCACATTCTGTGATCACCGAATACATTCATTGGAGTATTCTGGGACTTCCATCCTTAACTGAATAGGAACCATTCAATGGAGAATTGTCCACATATGCATATAATTCAGCTGATGCAAAAGTTGAAAATGGGTGGCAGCAATACAGAAACACATGGTCAGGGGAAATAAATGATTGCATTTTCTAGATGGGGATCAGATGGAGAAAGAAGCATAAGATTAGAGGTTACAGTGTGGTTTTTTAAAAAAACTCTACTGCTAAATTATGAGAAATAAGGAAACTTCACCAGTTTCCAATAGAGTTGAGCTATTTTATGCTCACTCTTGTTCTAGATCCTAACTCTGTGCTCACCTACTTTTTATTCTCACAACATTTCTCAGGGCCTCATGGATGAATGGGACTAGAAACTGGATCTTTCTCATTCGAATCCAACACCTTAACTAGTACTCCAAATTCTTAAATATAGTTCAGGTTTAAATTTATTTCCCTGTGAACTAAAATCATTGTGAATGGCAGAAGAAAGTGTCCTTTTACACAGCAGGGGCATGAATATTACACATCTCAAATGAAAGAAGACAGAAATATATTTGAAATTGCACCCTCCCAATTCACACCTGTCTGCAGGAATATTTAGTGCTCAAATGCCACCTTGCAGTGAAGAAAGAATAACAACCAATCATTCTTGGAATTAAATATCTCCCTCCATTACAACTTGGTGTTTTTGAGGTTCATAAAGTGGAAGGAAATCAATGTATTCGTACATGCACAAGGGTGTATTGTACATGTGGAAATGCCATTTTGGTCTTTCCCTTCCCCAGAATAAAGCATATGCACCTAGATCACCCAGTAGAATCCATAGAACAGAACAAAACAATTGATAAATAGGAGAGTTTGCTCTAAAATAATATGTAATTTGGCCCTGGCAGACTTCTTTTTCCTGCTGTTAGGTCACAACAGTAGAATTCAAGAAGAAATACTCCCTTGCGCCCATAACCCAAGTATTTATTTACCTGAATTTGGTTCCTTTTTAAGCACAGGTACACACATATACACCCCGGAGTGAATAATTGAGCCCCCTAGAAAATAAACTTGCAAGGCAACCTGAACTAAACACTTTAAAAGGTGGGGGTAGATTTGAACAAGTTTGAACAATGTGAACCAGTGTTTGTATTTTAACATCAGATAGTATGAAGGAAAAGAGGGTGCAATTCCCAATGGAGATACGATGTTTCATAATGCCCAAGGGTGGGTGTGTTGCTAAGCTGTTGCAAAAAGGATTTATTTTCAACACAAAATACCATTATAGTCTAGCCCTAGTGCATGGGACTGCAACTCCCATGTCATTGGGGGATCTGATATGTTGAAGTGGGGGTTGTGTTAGGAAAGTCTGCTTTAGAAGAAAATAAGCACCCAAGTCCAATGCTACATGTAATTACTACCCAATTTACTGACCACTTTTAGATGGTTTCCCTCCTTATAACTCCCCCAACCCTTGAGATACTTTGGGATACTTTGGGTGGGGTGGGGGAATGCCTGAGCATTAGCTAACAGTTCTACAGCATTAACAGTAACTAATAACATCAATACATTAAATACCAGCTGGATTTTAATGAGGTGCTCAGACTCAAGTTCCAGAAGATAAGAGCACTTGTGAGTGTTTGACAAGTTTATAGTTTTGTGTCGCCATGGACAAACCATAGCCCATCTCAGGAAATGATCTCTCTGTCTGGAAATTCAATACGAGTCCAAATTGGGTTTAATAATGCATAATCCTATTCTAAACATTATGATATAAAAAGAATAGTGCTATTGTAATGGAATGTGGGAAAGACCTTGGGAGACTGGGCCAAGAGACACTGCCTAGGGAATGGTCAGATAAGAGACAGCATAGCCCTCAGCTGGATAGTGGGCAGGGCAAGAGGCTCAGAAGGGACCCTTCCTAGTTTCTCAGGCTGTAAAGCGGATGGTGGGAGAATTGTACTTTCAGACTTGCAAGATTCTATTAATGTAGCTTTACAATAAAGTAGAATTAGCTCATCTGGTTGTGTTTCCTGTCTGCTCTACCTGGTAAGGTGACATCGGTCTTGCAAGTCTGGAAGTAAGCATAATTGGTAAGCATAATTAAATGCACAAAAGTAGCATGAAGGCAACAACAGGACTTTTTTAGTGGCTTTAGAATGGTAGAAAGAGCCACAAAGCAACACGTAGATCAAAATGCAAAAGCTATGAGGGCTGCAGAACAAAATGAGAAAACTTGAAAGAGTCCTTTACAGAGTCATCTGTAAATCACCTGGCCTCCCGTATCTGCCCAATCTGGCAGGATTGGCACGCTCCAGGTTCCTTCTATTAAACAATGCCATCTGTTGGGACCCTGGAAGCATACCTTCTGTGTAGCTACATTTGCCCTCTGGAATGAGGTTTCCTCCCCAAGATCCAAATATCCCCTACTCTACTAGCGTTGCAAAGGGTCTTGAAGACCTGGTTCTTCACCCAGCCCTTTGACAAGGGTGACTGAAGCCCCTTTAGACTGTGTGGGTTGTTCTCCTTTGTTCCCATCCAGTTTTGTCCTCCTTGCCATTTTTACTCATTATTTTTTAAATAAATTTTGATTAAAATACAGAGAAGTCAAAAAGAAAAGAAAGAAAAAGAAAAAGAAAAATAACTTCCCACTTTCTTTGGTACAGGTATAAGTGTAAAATACATTCACCTCTTGCTCTAACATCTAAAAATTTACATAGTAAAAACTAATTGTTAATCTAACATTAAAAAAGGTTCATAGTCTATTTCAACAATACATATGATTTGTGCATGATAGTTCTATAGATACAAAATACATCAGTCATCAAATCCCAAAATCAAAACTGCATTTTTTTGAGTATCAAGCAAAAAGTCCAAGAGTGGTTTCCAATTAGCAGCAAAGCTAGACAATGTCCTCTCTTTAAGTAGTCAATTTCACCATCTCTGCCAGTTCCATTAATTTCAATATCCACTCTTCGGCTGTAGGTATTGGTAAATCCTTCCATTTTTGCACATATAAAAGTCTCGCTGTAGTTATCATATAGAGAAATAAGTTTCCCTATCATCTTTCCATTTATTTATCCATCATACCTAAAAGAAAAATCTCTGGTTTCCACTGCAAATCCATTTTCAAAATCTTTAGAATCAGAATACATATCATGTTCCAGTATTTCTTGACGTTTTCACAAGTCCACCATAGATCCATTTTTACTCATTATGTTTGTCTCTTACTGTTTTTCTTGTCTTTAGGATTTTAAGGCTTAAAACCACCCAGAGTTGCTGGGAGTTGGGTGGCATATCAATGTAATAAATAAATCAATCAGAATGGGGTGGAGAAGGGAAAAATGGCTATGACATGAGTTTTTCCACCGGTTTGCTGAGTAGCCCTTTGAATAGCCGGCAAAAATTACCTATTCTACTGCTGTTGCTTCTTTCCTTCTTTTTGGAAGTTGACTGCTTTCCTTTCTTTTATTGCAATGCCTCAAAAAAAATGGCCCAACTCATAAACATGTTCCTAGTTGCATCAGAGAAAAAAAAAAAAATCCTGGGATATCCTCTGTTTTTAAATCCATAGCTTTCTTTCAGCTTATAGTATTGATAGCCTCATTCCACAAACATTACAGAGAGCTTATCAGTGAAACAGAAGCAGGAATTGTTTCTATATTTGGAATAGGGAAGAGGGTTTCCCCCATGCACTATTTGCACTGAATTCAGGGGGAATATACTTCTAAATAAGGAATCTGTTCTCTCAAGCAAATTAATGCAAGAACTGGATTTTGCAGTGATACGAACAAATGACAAAAGGGAACTTAATGTTAATTGTAAACTG